GACTTGTGTACGGCGTATACGTCCAAAAAATATCAGATCACCAAAAAAACGAATAACACTATTACCCAAAAACAAATCGTAATACAAATGTTAGGAACGTTTAGAGATACTGGAGACTACTAACCAAAGCGGCCAAAATACGGCGTTTCACCGAGGGTTGGTATCAGAGTATTCCAAAAGGCAGTTTTGCGTAGACGGTAATACATGTATATTCTCATTGTGGAAATAATGTGTAAATATATTTTGTTTTCTATAAACTTATATCGATAACATTCCAGGTCAGCATAGTCCCACTGGTCAGCTGGATACTCTGGTTCTGCTTCTGTGATTTACGTAATTTGTGAATGAGACAAAACACCTTGTACCATTCGTTCTCATTCACCAATTACGCATTGACTACCATGAGTTCAACCATGGAACTAAATCCCATCCAATTGTAGTTCCATGGTATACTCATTACTATCAGCTGGCAATTTAAACTGAAATTGTGATCGGCTACGTATAATATTCCCGAAATAAATAACATTAGCTTCCTCGCTATTATTAACCGTTTCCCACTTTGAACAATCCAAAATATGCGTGATGAGTGTGAATAGCCAAATACTGTTTCGTTGCCGAAATAGCTCAGTTGGGAGAGCGTTAGACTGAAGATCTAAAGGACCCTGGTTCAATACCCCGGCGGGTTCGCACGAGCCTGACTGAACTGTCATGGGTTTCGGCAGATCCTTTTTTGTTACTCTTTTTCCCTTAGCTCTTTTTAACTATTTAAGATAAGTTTCTTTTTCCCACTTTGAACATCACTCAGAAACTGCGTTAAACATAATATGCAGCTTATCCCCACTTTCTGCTGCCAACAAAACATCGCCAGGATATAGAAGTATACTGAAATTCATTAAACCTTCATTACAAAGAAAGCCACCAAATTGTGTTCCTTAACATGCGCAGTAAAATCTTTAATAAGTATAGAAAACAGAGTTGGAGACAAAACGTCTAGTTGCCTAACTCCACAATTAGTTTCGAACCAGCCAGTGCAATGCGTGCCATTGTTGATCAGTACATAGATATGATTGCGTGACAGTCAAAGGCATTTTTCGTGTTAATAAGAGCGGCAGACTTTGATAACCATGTCTCAATTCTATTTTCTTAATACAGTAGTAAGAAAAATGTGTCATCAGAACATGCCATATTTTTTCTAAAACCATTTTGCTCATTTACAAGTAAATTATTACAGCAAAGGAAATTTACAAGTATATTGTTGAGAATGACACTATATACGTTGCCCACCGCCGACAGTAAACTAATGTAACTGCTGTTAACTACTAGGACCCTGCGATCGCTCCTTGTTTTCTTTGGGATTTGGGAAATAATAGCCTTCATATTGGACCACAGAGAGTGGATCTGTTCACGGTAAAAAATACATCTGTAAAATTGAGCGGGTTTGCACAGACCAAATAGTTTTTAATACTTCATTTGGCAAACCATCTATTCCAACTGCCTTGTCAGTTTGTTTTCCTAGCTTATTTATATTGTCCCAGAATGCATTGGGATTGTCATTAGAACTGCTTTCTGTGTATTCCTACTATATACAGTCCTTTTCTATATTCACTTTCATACTATATATATATACATTTTTGTTTTCCATTTTTAGAGCAAGACGATTTAAAAAATAATTTGTCCAAATTTCAGAATGATTTTCGATTTTTTAACCACTTACCAGTACCTTTAACACAAATACGGAGATTGTGTTGCAGGTTTATATATTTCATTAAAATAAACTTCACAAAACTTGACATGCGTAATATCAAGAAGTTTCTGGGACGATATATTTTGTTCTAATTGCTGCATTGATTCCAACAATGTCTGACGACAGGTTTCCGGTGAAGTTTGAAGGAAAGTTTTAAACATCATGTTCACGTTTCTGGAAACTATGTTTATCACCCACTTTCCTACTTCAGGCAGTAGCGGCAGCATCAAGTTAGCCAGTAACCCATATAACGTTACCTGACGCCTGTAGAGACAATTTTAGACAATTTCAGGGGGTTTATGCCTATTGCAAAAACCATTTGTTTTCACTGATTTGATGTTTTCAATGGAGTTTATGTACACAAAATTGTCAGGCAAGCCATGTGCTCCCCAGCTATTTTACAAGTTTACGTGGATTTAATTTAGCGAATTTCACTTATCAACGAAAATAGCGAAATCAAAAACCAACAAATAATGAATGTTTTACAGTATCTCATATTAAACGGTGTAAATTATGTTTTATCAAACAAAGATACACAAGTATTAACTTAAAGTAGTACACCTGTTAATACAACTATGAGATAACAATATACAGCCAACTACAGCTTTGTCTTTACTGCTAATTGAGGTATAAATATCACATAATAACGTCAATAACGGGAACATGGATTTTTAACCTTTTGAATTAATTTCCCATTGGCTAAAAATCTCCATCAAAATTAGAGAAAATATAAAAAAAAACAATAAAATGCAACCTTATTTTATGAACATTTACAACAGTTTGATAATACTGTCGAAATATTAATATATGTGATATAATATAATATATTATACAATGTATCAATTAGTCCAAATAATAGAATTTACTGATTAACATAAATTATGGCATACTGTTTCAGCGCCGAAATAGCTCAGTTGGGAGAGCGTTAGACTAGGCTCAATAAGCATTAATTTCTAGTTAATTAATGTATATCTCATCACACATCATATCAAATAATACAAAATTTGCGTTTTTTACTGATGAACGTAAATTACGGCTATATGTTTAAGCGCCGAAATAGCTCATTTGGGAGAGCGTTAGACTGAAGATCTAAAGGTCCCTGGTTCAAAACCCCGGCGGGCTCGCACGAGCCTGACTGAACTGTCCCGTGTTCCGGCATATACTTTTTTCCTTCCTTGTTAATTTCCTTCAACAGTCAATCTCGAAAATTGAAATGTATCTTTAAGAATATTTAACCTTTTAAATTGAAATTTCCGGGATTTTAATTTGGAACAACATATAAAAAGCAAATAAAAGTATATTTGTTTATTAAACCTTAAAAGTGTTAAATATTGAATACCATCACAATATTTTCCCCACAAAATTTGTGTTGAAATTTTTTTTCATATATATTTTACTATAAATTCCGTATTCATTTTGAATTAATTTATCATTGGGAAATACAAGTCTCTAACAAAATATTTGAGAAAATATAGAAAGAAAATAAAATGCAACTTTATTTTGTGAAAAGTAACCACAGTTGTCTAAGACTGTCTGAATATTAATATATGTGATATAGACGAGCCTGACTGAACTGTCTCAGGTTTCGGCATATACTCATTTTTATTCAATGTCATGTGACTGAGTTGAAACCAATCACAGCATGCATAACAGCAGTGATAGATGGCGCTATTCATTTCCAAAACAAAGTCCGGCAACCAAGAAGTTAATTATTGATAGAAATATATTTTCAGTTAGTCATTACTACCTACGACCAGTTGAACATTGTGCCTCGACCCCTGACCGTCGCCATTTTAGTTTAAGGCGGCAAAGTAGACATCACATTTGTTTCCGCCATGACTGCCTTGTTTTGTGTTGTATTATCGCTTTCGCTATTCCACGGAGCAACAAGTCAAAACCCACGTCTTAATGAGGATATCATCGGCGGGCCCAACGCGGACGAAAGGCGAATGTCAGACAGTCTATACTTGGGCCTAGAATACGTAGAAATCACTTTACCATATTACGGCGTTTTACAAGGACGAAAGTTTCGCCTTGTTACACCATGGCTGACGTACGTGAGAGAAAAAATATTCTGGGCCGAACAGTTTCTCGGTATACCGTTCGCGAGGCCACCTGTCGGCGAGCTCCGATTCCAGCGTCCCGTACACGCCGATCCCTGGCAAGGTGTTTACTCGGCGACGTACCATCGTAGCGCTTGCCCACAAACGCTCACATATATCCAGACAGTGTTACCAGACTTTGATTCCAGGAAAATACAAGAAGACTGTCTATACTTGAATGTTTACCGACCTTCAGTGAGTATATAGTTTAGAATCAAGTTTAAGATTTAGTGACACAAAAATGTCTGTTAGCATCATCTACGTAAAATTCTTTTGTAATGACGTAATGTTTACTTTGTCAGTTCATTTTGTTGAACGAAACATCTTTACTAGTCATGTTCAGAGCGAAATAAATTTTGACGAAATTGTACTGGTCATAGTATATATATTAGGAATCAAATCAATTATTCATTGAGCCTAACCTTGAACTTCGAATGAACGAATCATTTCCTGTTTAATTTCGCATTTGTTTTTGAAATTGATATAGACGTCGATTTTTATTGAAATAAAATAGTCTTTGCTTCGTTCATTTTAGATATGTGCGCCAGCTTTTACTGAATTTTTTTCATAGGTTTGTGGAAAAACAAAAGTTCACACATAGTAGTTAATACATAAATGGTATATACATGTATATATATATATTTTTTTCATTTGTTGTTGTTGTTGTTATATTTCTGCTACCAAGCGACTATAACAACCCACGCTAAAAACCCAAAAGCTCAGTGGGTAGACGCTTGTTTGTAAACATTGACACGCTATGACCATCTGACGCATGCGTAGGTGACGAATCCCCCGCTTTAAATGAAACAACGCAAAATCATAATTGGCGAAATCACGAAATCACACATACGTCGTTCGTAATCCAGGTTATTTATCTATTTTATTTTCAAAATAACACAGCGAAATCATGTTCCAGTGATATTTCTAGATCAGTATCAATCGATGTTTCGATGAGGCATATCTTCTACACTTTGTAAGAGGTGGCTTATATTAAGGTGTACATATATTGTCAAAACTTAGTTGAAAGAGTAAATTGGCCAAAAATGAAAGCTGAAATTAAAAAAGTTACGGTGTTAGCGTTTTATATTGACAGGAAACTGACGCATTGCATCGAGTAACGAGTAAGTTATTATTTGTCAACACTGACCTCAATCCCCTTCCCATAGGTCTTTGCGTTGTACGCAATAGTACATGTCAAACTGGTTGTAGTTTGAACTAATCTAGGAATTACTTTGAGATTACGTAATCTTCGATTTTTGATGTTTGGACGCTATAAATAATATATATTCAGGAAACAACTCAAAAATGTGGTCTGCATCTCAAACCTATTTTTACAACCAGTCCCGTACCCATCTTTAGCTCCGCTGTCGACTTTGTCGAGCGGAGGTTCATCATATGAGTGCTATTGTCCGTCATCGTCCGGCGTCCGTCGGCGTCCGTGTCAACTTTTTTTTATTTTTTTGACTTCTTTTTGAAAACTACAAGCCTGATTGCTTTGATACTTGGTGTATATGTACCTCTTTTAGATTTATTCATTTCGTGATGATTACAATAATTCCCTAATTTTAGTGAATATTTTTGTCATTTTTGGTAAAAAGTGATATTGTCGACTCCTTGTTGAAAACAGCAAGTAGATTGCTTTGCTATTGTACATATAGGTACCTCAGGTTGACCTCTCTCAGATGTGTTAATTTAATGAAGATATCTTCAATTTTCTAATTGTAATGTGCATTGCTAACAGCAGTGCTATCTCAGCCGAGCGGTTGAGCGGTTTATGTATTACTTTTTTCACATAGAATTCCGTGTATTAACTCCATAAACCGCATCTGGTATTATCACGTTTATTTGAAAAGTTCAGTACGTGATCCCACTTTTTCACATATGGCCCTACATGGCAATAAGTAATCTATTCGCAAAATATCAAACATATCCTATGACTTTCATGAGATTGTATTGAGCGGCCTTAACTAGGTAATCCCTGAAATGATTGGAACGCATTGAAGGACTCCAATGTTTCAAAGTCGGTATTTGGTGTTCTTCATGTTTGCCACTCGAAGAGCGCATTAAATTATCATGGGAAAATCATTGTTTATCAACACAAATCTCGGGTACATATACATCATTAACTATACGTGCAACAGGAGAGCCATCTCAGTGAGTGCGTTAAAATATGTCTTCTCTCAATTCAAACCGTTGAAACAGTTGTCAATGACAAGAAGAGTAGAAAATTTAAATTCTGAATATTACAGTATTAAATATTCTTCGCTTTAGACGGGATCATCTTAGATTATAGTTAATTTCATAATGCTTCCTTCGTCCGCTGCATGTGACTGGACGCTATGAGAAGGATGATAATATACACGTGTACACTATGTAATTGTTATTTAACATCGTTGTGCCATCTATTTATAGCGTGAACTTGGTATATATGACCCTCTCCTGCCTGTCATGGTGTATTTTCATGGAGGTGACTGGGACTACGGAACAGCTGAAATGTACAACGGTACATTCATGTCGGCGACTAGAGACGTCATAGTCGTAACCACCAATTATCGACTTGGTGCTCTGGGTGAGTTAGGGATGGACAATTATTTCCATTGGGGGTGTTGATAGACTAGAACCGGAAACAATAATTACGGCAAGAAAAAACATGTCGCGTTAGCATACTACGTTACGTTACTACGTTTCACTGGATGTAAAAACAGTATTATGCTGGTAACCCCAGAATTGAATTTGTATTAAAGTCATTCCCACTTTGCATAATCCACTAAAAACACTTCTCACTGACCCCTAAGCTTTGTCATTTGAATAATACCTCTCACCGGCCCATGTAAGCATAATAATGGTTTTGCAACGTTGCACAGTTCACGAGAACTCTTATCCAACAGCCTCGAAATCCTAAAATACAGTAAGTCTTGCATATACAGGCCCCTTAATGAATAAGGAGTTTCTGTCAAGTTTGCGCTCAGGCTGTCTTCAGTGCTCCAATATTTCAGGATTTGAAACTAAACCAACTGATTTTGTCATTTTCTTCATAGCGATTACAATAATTAGTGGAAGGCGTTCTACATATAATACAAAGTGAAAGCGCAACTTTACCTCTGCCCTCAAGTCAAGTCAAGTGAATTGACCCACTTGCTATTCACAAGTACCCAACATTTCAGTCCATTGTTTATTCATATTATTATTTTGATAATTTCTAGGATTTCTGTGTACCGAAGACGAATACTCCCTGGGGAATTATGGACTATGGGACCAACTGGAAGCCTTGAAATGGGTACAGGAAAATATCCAGCATTTCGGTGGAGATAGTAGAAGGGTGACAGTATTCGGGGGCGGAGCCGGAGGAGCAAGTGTCGGCCTTTCATTAATGTCGCCATCTAGCGAAGGTAAACAAGTGGATACATACGCATAACGCTTATACGTACCGCCCTCTACGATATGTATTACAAATTATCTTGTTTTACACCTGTATTTTTCCAGGTCTCTTCGAACGTGCAATTATGCAAAGTGGCACAGCTGTATCGCCGTTTGCCGTGATTCTTCCGCCGTACAAACCAAAAGATTCAGCGGTGCAGCTTGGCGAGGCATTCAACTGTCCCACAACGTACTCATCGTACGAACTTGTAGAGTGTTTAAAATCCCTACCGTATTCAAACATTTACCTAGCGGACATCCAGGTAATTCAAAATACTACGAGATTATTACGAGGATACCTCAAAGTATGCACGAAGACAGTAACGCGCAGCGGAGGTCGATGCGACTTCGCACTGTCTGAGTCCATACTTTGAGGTATCCTCGTCAAAACCTTATTATTATACATTTTTTGCCTTCCAAGGATACATCACGGGAATGCCGAAATCCAAAAAGTTTAGAACAGAATCAAAATTTACGACGTTACGGTAACATATGTATATTAATAGAATCTATCTTTAATTCCAATATTCCGGACGAGTATATCGTACACCCATAAAACAAGCAATGAAAATTACACAATTACAAAACTTTTAGCAAAAAAATGGTGATGTTATTGCATTATGTAAATTTGTTTATCAGGGAAGTCCCGATGCAGGTGCCTGGGCCCCAGTTATTGATGGGCCAGGTAACGGACGATATCTACCCGGTAATCCGTACGATCTGCTGGTTGGTGGGCATTTCAGAGAAGTCGATATCATCAATGGTATTGTCAAAGAAGAGAGATCATACAAATTACGTAAGTTGTTGCAGCAGTCCCTAATTAGGTTATTAAGTACTCAATGATGAATGGTTTTGATGATCATTTAATGATGATTTCTATGTTGGTAACATTTGACAGTCAATCGTATTGTGTTCTATTGCATAGTATTGCGTTGCGTTTTACTGTGTTGCGTTGTGATGCGTTCTATTCTATTAACAGTGGATATACCAGGAGTACATTACGGCGTCAGGCACGAGTACTTCATGATGGGCGTACACGATGAGGTCTCACAGCGGCACATTTTCGGTGTCGACACCCTCACTAACATCTCCGTATTCGAATATACAAACTGGACAATGCCGTTGGATGAAACGTCGATTAGGGATCAATACATAGACGTAAGTTTCGTTCAGGTAACATAGCGCGTGTGAATTCTGACCAAACTAAGTCATTATATGCTAGTCTGAACGAGGAGTGTCACATATCACACACATAGAAATGTAATGCTCTCCATAACATTGCTTTAAAAAGACAATAAGAGTGTAGAAAATTATCTGCCGAAATCCGGGACAGTTCAGTCAGGCTCGTGCGAGCTCGCCGTGGTTTTGAACCAGGGACCTTTAGAACTTCAGCCTAACGCTCTCCCAACTGAGATATTTCGGCATTGAATCAATTTGCAGTAATTTAGGTTTTTAGGTATATTTTGGGTGATTTGATGCATGATATATTGTAATAATAATTTAATGTTTATAAGTTTCGTCAAATAATTTTGGAAACTGTAAATACACTCGCATATTTTTGATAAAATAAAATAAATACTGGAAGGTCATACGGTACTAGTATGCTAATAAAACTTGGACACCGTCACGGTAAGTTTCTTTTTTCCTATTTCAGATGTTGACCGATAGAGATTTCGTTGCTCCAATGATTCAGACAAACCGTTATCACGACCAGAGTTCAGCATATGTATTCATGTACACGTTCAACTATACCGGAGAGGTGAGCCCCTTCCCGGCATGGATGGGTACGTATCACATCGACACAACTAATCAGGGGCATACTGTAAAATGACTAATTTTCACCGGGTTTAAATTTCACTGATTTACCACTGGCATTGCAGACATATTCAGTGGGTTTTAAATTCACGGTTTTATCATTTAGATATTGTGTTCTATGCTAAATTTTACATATTCACTGGGTTTTAATTTAGCTCATTTTTCAGTCAGCGAAATAAGCCAAATTAAAACCCAGTGAATAATTAACCCCTTTATAGTATATCTACCACGTTATCACGTGCCTTCATTTAATTATTGAATTCCTTTGTTAGGCGTGCCACATGGCGGGGAACTCCCATATGTATTCGGTGAACCAATGAGTATGGGACTTCAGAGACAAAACTGGACTAATGATGATAGAACAGTTAGTGACCTGATGATGACGATGTGGTCAAATTTTGCAAAATACGGGTAAGTGGTGTCTTTTAAATGAAACTCACAATGATACACCTTTCGCGCTTTGAAGACCGTCTACAACGTCACTGGAGTGTTGATCCGTGGTCAACGGACAATAATACGAATAGTGTTTTTGAAAGATTTACTTTATCTGAAAAACAGAAAAAGAAAAAAAACGACTACACAACCAAACGGAGTTGTCGCTTTCAGGGATATTCCTTTCCACCACTCTACCGCACATTAACGTCACTGAAACATTTTTTTGATAGAGGGCGCGATTTCCAGGACGAAAAATATCCACGAATACTTTTTCTTACAATGAATCAAGAGAAAGATTTGGGATGAAATATCTCTTTAAAATATATGTGAATCGATTATTTTCCTTTCTCTCAATTATGCGTTTCAACTTTCGAGATTGCGTTATAAGATTTACACGAATGTCCCTCGGGATGTCGTCGTACTGTACATAAAAAACGTTTTTATTATACCCCTTGTAGAAACCCAACACCCATGATTGGCAGTGTTTCCAACCCACCAGCGTACCAGGAACCAGAGTATCCAGCTGATGAGTGGGACTATGTTGACCTGGAATGGTACCCATATAAGTTCATAGACAATGAAACATATATACACATTGATATTAATTCTACAATGAGAAAAGATTACCGTCTACGTAAAACTGCATTTTGGAATATTTTGATACCAAATCTCGGTGAAACCCCTTCGTCCATTCGCGATCGCTATTATTACCACTCTATAGCATCTTTCAACATTCCTAACATTTTTATTACGATTTGTTTTTGTGTAACAGTGTTTATTCGGGGTTAACGGTGGTCTGCGTTCTTCTTTTGGACATGTACAATATACAGGTGTCTCCGTGTGGTCAAGCTAAGTAACTTTGATAAACATGCTATATGTATATACCAATGCGCTTTTTTAGAAAGATGTCTTTTAAGATTCATACTGCCCTCAGTGTTCGTACCAGAGTTCTTTAGTTTGTTTTTGACGTCAGTGAGTGTCATCATTTGCGTATTCGATTGTTCAAATAAGGCCTATTTCTATTTCAGGTTGTAATATACTTCAATAAGTAATTGCCAATTTGTTTTATAACTCATCTGAATCTGTTTTATGTCTACCAGCCTGGATATATATTTGTGATTTATGATTTTTGGGCATATAATTATCAATTGTGAAAAAAAATCCATCACTTTTCACTGATTTGCGGAGATGCGGATTGGTTTTGGACACAACAATTTTCGTCAAATGTAAAAATAGATTTGCTTGACAACGCATGATTTACTTATCGATGTGGTTCTGGTAAGAGTTAGAATTTATTGCCAACGTTTGAAATGGACATTGATTTTGAATAAACAAATTTGGACATGTTTCTATGCAAGTATCTCAACCAAAAAAAAACATTCATATTTAATGTTCTTGTCTAGTGTGGCCTGGTTTCACGATGTTACAGACCGGTTTCGTTTGGTAATACTGTAAAATCATTTATTTTTACTAACATTTAATTTCACTTTTTTATGTTCTGAGCATATTCACTGTGTTTTAATTTCACGAATTTGTCAAGAAAACAATTAGTTTGATTGTCATTCTATATGTTCATGTAGATTTAACTTATCAGCGGATTTAACTTATCAGCGGATTTTACGAAATTAATTCCCAGGGAATAATAAATGCATTTAAAGTAGACATATTGCAATTATAAATCTTTCTGAAAACAAAATATATTGGAATAATATATATATATATATATATATATATATATATATATATATATATATATATATATATATATAATTATTGAAACTGTTGATGAAAGAAGTTAAACAAAAAAGAAAAAAAAAATATCTGCCGAAACCCGGGACAGTTCAGTCAGGCTCGTGCGAGCCCGCCGGGGTATTGAACCAGGGACCTTTAGATCTTCAGTCTAACGCTCTCCCAACTGAGCTATTTCGGCGCTGAAACAGTTGTTAGTTATTTACGTTCATCACTGAAAACACATATTTTTTATTATTCGATAAATCGTATGATGATATGTTAATATTCAGATAGTCATAGTAATTGTGGTCACTTTTCACAAAATAAACCCACATTTATTTTTTATATAACTCTCTCCCAACTGAGCTAGTATTTCGGCACTAAAACAGTAGGCGATCCTTTACGTAAATCACTAAATACTGAAACCTCCATGTTTTTTTTCTATATTTCCACAAATACTTTGATCAAGTCTCGTAGCCAATGGGAATATTATGGCAAAATTAACAAAAAATGAAAGTAAATACAAAAAACAAGAAGGAAAATGTTGCGACACAATTTTAACACTTCTTGAAAAATAAAACTACTTTCCAATTGTTTTTTTTTTATTTTGTTGTCCAAAAATAAAATTTAATTTTCTAATATATCCATTTATTAGGTTAAATAAATTTATACACGTGACCATTTTTTTTCCTTTTTTCATATCGTTGGATGTCGCAATTTAAAATCACAAATAAATTTAAAATGATAACAATTTACAGTCGGGGGCTTCTGTTCGTTTATATTTTATTTTATTTTTATATCGCATTGAACTCGATATCTTTGTGTATGTTTGACGTTTGTCTGAGCAAACAATAGCAAGAGATTAAATCACACGACAATTTAAATTACTAATCACGCGTTGGGTCACTGGCATACTGACCCCCGGGGCACCTATATAATTTGATTTAACCACCTATGGATTTCAGTATCAGTGCACGCCATGACTGAATTTAAGTATGATTAGTTAAAATTAGTTGTATTTTCACCATAAAACGAAGACATCAATTGCTTCGAAATTGCGACCATAGTGGGTCTGTGTCATTTTTTGTCACCTTTTCTCTGATAATGCTGTGGTGTCACGTGATTACTCTTGTTTTGACACATTGTCACGGTACTAATTATGCTTGGATTATTATTGAAGACCGAGACTTTTTTAGTATTCATATTGTCACAAAGACCAATGTCAAAGAACTTGAATATTTGTTTTAATTTATAATCTTTTATTTAGTCAGTTGTTAATGCCAAATGTTTGTGTACAGCGCCACCACACGTATCAGATATGGCATCTGTTCACCGAAGTTAGTAGTTTTATGGACATGCGTTAGTCTAAGTTTTATCATGTTTTCGACTTTCTCTATATTCTTATTAGTCTTATTTTTCAACGGTATATTTTAACTGTCTTATGCCTCGTGTTATTTTATTCTATTTTGAAAATAAAAATAATAATAATAATAACATGTAGTAAATTGTTAATTCCAACATGTATGTTCACATTAAAGTAGGTCTACGTATAATTTATGTGTAAGTTGGTCATAAAGACCAGTCAGGACGGTGTTTTCAAAACATTGGTGTAATTTTCAATTAAAAATGTATTTTCTCCACTCACTGCGAGATTACGGAAATATTTTATTTATTCTTTAATATACTTTAGACGGAAAAGAGGTGATCTCTGACCTCTGACCCAATTAAAAACTTTGAATTCTGTGCAGTAAATAGGAATGACTTATCCAACAGTAATTTGGAAGACCCTTCAAAAATAAAGTACGCACTGCATACAAACAAATGGTCTTGAGTGAACACAACAATGAACATTAAAGCGCGGTAGTCGTCGCGCTGCGCATGTGCGAAATATATGGGTCTCATATAAACAAAGATGGCGACTTTGACTGTTGCGCATATCAACGAGTACGAACTGAGACGTTTCCAAGCTTTAATTATGTAATTTTCATGTTATTCGAAGGTATCAAGGAGTCACCGGCGGTAATCAGTGCAAGTCGCGCCCAGGTCAAACCTCAAACTTGTGATTTCCATTTGAAGAGCGCATTGGATTGTGGGAAAATCAATGTTTATCAACACAAATGTCGAACATGCGCAGCGCGACGACTCGGACTACCGCGCTTTAAGTTGAATTAAGTTGAATACCGAAGTGTTTAGAAACCACGACCTTTTCTTCTGTCAAGTGCGGGCTACTTCA